CTTAACTGACTGAGTCATGCAGGCACACCAATATTTTTAAATATTTTTTTTAAATAAATTTTTAAAAAATAAAAATATTTTTTAAAGATTATTTATTTTACAGAGAGAGTGGGGGGTGAGGGGCAGGGGAGAGGGAGAGAGAATCCTCAAGCAGACTCCCAGCTGAGTGCAAAGCCCAACACGGGGCTCCATTCTAGGACCCTGACAGCCACCCAGGCACCCCAAAAATAAAAAAATATTTTTAAAAGTTTCTTGGTCAAGCTGCCTGGCTGGCTCAGTTGGTAAAGCATGTGATTCTTGATCTTGGGGTTGTGGGTTTGAGCACCACATTGCACGTAGACATTATTTTTTTTTAAAAAGGGGTTTTTTGGGGGCGCCTGGGTGGCTTAGTCGGTTAGGCAGCTGCCTTCGGCTCAGCTCGTGATCCCGGGTCCTGGGATTGAGCCCCATGTCGGGCTCTCTGCTCAGCGGAGAGCCTGCTTCTCCCTCTCCCTCTGCCTGCTGCTCTGCCTACTTGTGCTCTCTCTCTGTCAAATAAATAAATAAAATCTTAAAAAAACAAAAACAAAAAGGGGTTTTTTGGTCAAGTTTAATTTTATCATTTCTTAGTGATATAGTAAAGTGTCTACTTATAATGCTTAATTTACATATATGCATTTTAAATAATGTTATATAAAACATTGATATGTTAGTATTAGACTAATATAAACATTAATTTGGAAGTATAGCTTTTTCTTTTCTACTTCAATGAAGCATATTTATTTAGACTTTTCATACATACCTTTACTATATAAACGGCTTTCCACTCTTTGAACAATCTAATAGTTCCAACACCAAATAGTATCTTCTAAAGTATTTGAGATAGATCCATTTTTGACTCTATGTACTCTGTTGTAGCTGGAAATTTTATCCCTAGCCATAAGTCCTTATTTATATAACATTAGTAAAGGTGGTATTTTGTTAATACATCTAATATGGGCAGTATTGATGCTCTCTATGACACACTTAGTGTATTGCTTTTTGAAGTGATTCCTTTATTCTGCTAATATTTGACCGAACATATTATGTGCCAGAAACCATTCTAGCATTGGAGGTAGAGGATAAAACCAAGAATCAACATTCCAGATACATATATTTGATTTGGAAAGACAGACAATAGCAAATATGTAAAGTTGTGGCAGGTGCTCAAAAATCACAGAGGATGTGGAGGTAGGATTGTTCTTTAAGGTGATGAAACAGATCTCTAAATAAGTGATTGACATAAAATATGTAGGTATTTGAGGAAAGAAACTTCTAAGCAGCTGTAGGAACCCTGAGCTTGGAGAATGCCTGCAGAGTTTGAGGAACAACAAAGGCACCGGCAGCAAAATGAGTTGTAGGTATTCTAGATCCTCGATAACACTTTTGTTTTTAGTCCTTTTAGATTTATCCATCCTTGTGGGTATGTGGCAGTATGTCATTGTGGTTTTAATTTGCATTTCCCTGATGACAAATGATGTTGGGCATTTTTTGTTTGGTTTTTGGCCATTGATGTATTTTCCTTTGTGAAATTGAGTATTCTGCCCATATTTTAATAGTTTTTAGGTATATTCTCTGTAAAATATTTTCTCTTAGTCTGTGGTTTGCCTATTCATTTTCTTCACAATGTCTTTTGATAATCACAAGTTTTAAATATTAAATCTGATCTATCAAATTTTTTTCTTTTATGGTTAGTGCTTTTTTGGTCTTCTTTAAGAAATATTTAGCAACCTCAAGCAGAATTTCATTCTGAACATTTTGAGACTCCATTAAAGGCTTTGATCTCACTGACTACCCTGGCTGCTGTGTGAAGAATACATTATAAAGCAGCAAGAGTGGAAACAGACTAGTTAAGAGGCTACTATGGTGGTCTAGGAGAGAAATAATTGTACATTGGACTGGGGTTGTAGTGATGGGGGCATTGAAAAATCTGGAGTTAAAGATACAGGCTACTGAATTTGCTTATTTGGAATGTGTTGTGAGAGGCAGTCGTGGAGGGAAGCAGTTCGGATGATTCTGTATTTCTGGTTTGAGCCACTGGATAAATAGTGGTGCCATTTACAGAATATCCAAAGCTACAATTGACCAACGTTATTTTAAAGTCTAATGTATGTTTGTCAAGTAGTATGTTCAATATAAAGTAATTGGAAGAGTGTCCCATAATACAAGAGACTTTTTAAGAAATTCAAATATATGATTATGGGGCACCTGAGTGGCTCAGTCGATTAAGTGTTTGACTCTTGGTTTTGGCTCAGGTCATGATCTCCTGGTCATGGGATCAAGCCCCAAGTTGGGCTCTGTGCTCAGCACAGAATCTGCTTGATCCTCTTCCTCCACCTCTGTCCCTCTCCCTGCTCAGGTGCGCACACGTGCTCGCTCGCTCTCAAATAAATAAATTAAAAAAAAAATTCAAATGTATGATTACTACCCTCTTTCTAAGAAAGAACTTTAGAGGAAATTTTACTGTTTTTTTGTATACATGTAATAGAGTTGATATGCATATTTGGAAGCATGTGCTAGAATGGAATCTAGCAATACAATACTTGATTGTTTCAATTTAAAAACTGCTATTCTTGGAGCACCTGGCTCACTCGGGGGAGCATTTTTTTTAGATTTTTATTTATTTATTTAGAGAGTATGCATGTGTGCGTGAGCAGGGGGAGAGGGAGAGAGAGAATCCCAGGTAGAGTCTGTGCTGAACATGGAGCCTGATGCAGGGCTTGAGGCAGGGCTCGATCTCACAACCCCAACATCATGGACTGAGCCAAAATCAAGAGTCAGACGCTTAACAGACTGAGCCACCCAGGCACACCACATGTGACTCTTGATCTCAGGGTCGTGAGTTCAAGCCCTACATTGGGCATGTAGCCTACTTAAAAAAATAATAATAATAAAATAAAAATAGGGGCACCTGGATGGCTCAGTTGGTTAAGCATCTGCCTTTGGCTCAGGTCACGATCTTGGGGTCCTGGGATTGAGTCCCGCATTGGGCTCTCTGCTCAGCAGGGAGTCTGCTTCTCCCCCTCACTCTCCCTCTGTACTTTCTCTCTCTCAAATAAATAAAATCTTAAAAAAAAAAATTTTTTAAAACCCTGCTATTCTTTTGTTTTTTATCTTCATTACCAATTTGAAGCTTTTTTGTGCATTTATAAAAACAAGTTTTAATAATCCTTTATGGAGATGGTCTTTGATCATAGACCATAATGGTTTTATATTTTTGTCAGAAAAGTACATTCTTAAGCATTAAGGTGATTCTTGGCTTCCCTGTAGGCTTAAGTATGATTCTATATGTGGGAATCAAGTGTGAGCAAATCTTGAGTTATTACCAGCAAAGGTCATTGTTTCAGTAGTGATTTCATCGTATTGTATATATGCCAAGTTGTAAGTTTCTTTTCAAATTTATAGGAATTAGTTTATGATAGTAGAAAGAATTTTGGAATAGGAAGGGAACTGAATTCTAGTCCAGCTATGTGAACTTAGGCAAATCATTATATATCTCATTTTCTTCATCTGTAAAATGAGGAATAATTGATTAAAGTTCTTTTAAAATCTGAAATTATAGCTTCTTATTGGTTTTGTAAAGATCTAGCTTTATAAAGATGTTTGAACCATAATGATATTAGAAACATTGAAAATTCGATCTTAGGGTGATTCATAAAAAGAAATGAATTGTGGGCATCTTGCCTGGCTCATAGAATGTTATTAAATCTGAATCACCGTTACCTATATCAAATTTAAGTCCATGACTAATAAAGCTACCTTTCTCTCTTAATAACAGTTTCATTGAGATACAATTCATATACCATACAATTCATTCATTTAAAGTGTACAGTTCAGGGGGTGCCTGGGTGGCTCCATTGTTTAAGTGTCTGCCTTTGGCTCAGGTCATGATCTCAGGGTCCTGGGATCGAGCCCCACATCGGGCTCCCTGCTCTGCAGGAAGTCTGCTTCTCCCTCTCCCACTCCCCCTGCTTTGTGTTCCCTCTCTCGCTGTGTCTCTGTCAGATAAATAAATAAAATCTTTTTAAAAAAAGTTTTGTGGGGAAAAAAAAGTTTTGTGAATTAATACGAGATATATAATTGTGTTTCAGGAGCATATTTAATTTGGGATGTGAACTAAAATAGGTTAGTCTGAAATGACACTTTTGTTAATAGAAAATTTATTAAGAATATTTAGTTTTAGGGGCACCTAGCTGGCTTAGTTGATAGAGCGTGTGACTCTTGATCTCAGGGTCTTGAGTTCAAGCCCCAAGTTGGGCTTGGAGCTTACTTAAAAAAAGAGGGGCAGCGCCTGGGTGGCTAAGTCGTTAAACGTCTGCCTTCAGCTCAGGTCATGATCCCAGGGTCCTGGGATCGAGCCCTGCATCGGGCTCCCTGCTCAGTGGAGAGCCTCTTCTCTCTGTCCCTCTGCTGCTCCTTCTGCTTGGGCTCTCTCCCTCTCTCTCTGTCAAATAAATAAAATCTTAAGGAAAAAAAAGAATATTTAGTTTTAGTAGAGATTTTGCTCTTAAAAATGTTAATTGCTGCAGTCTGGATTTTGTCTTAGTCCAGTCAGATTTGTGAAATAATGTTTTTAATTTCCATTCCAGAAATACATGCTACAGGATTTAACTATCAGAATGAAGATGAAAAAGTCACCTTGTCTTTTCCTAGTACTCTCCAAACAGGTAAGAGTCATGGCTTTTGTAAAATCCCATGATGAATAGTGACATCTTATTTCTTCCAAAGAAATTTGTTGTATGCCATTTTTTTTTTTTCTAATTTTAAGCAGATTAAATATTAAGACAGAACTTTTGAAAGAGGTTCATTGCAGCTTTTGGGCCACCAGGACAAAAGAAGACCAAAACTAATGATCATACTACCCTAGAACATAATGCATTGTTTTTCACCTTTTCAGTCTCAGCTTTTTAAAAATACATTACCCAGCTCCATCTTCCAGTAATTGAGTCCACATCTCTGAGATGAATGTCCCACAGTTGATTTTGATGTATAAAAAGTATAGTGTGGGCATGGAAGGAAAGATTTGTTGATATAATACTATTACTAGGTAGGGGTGCCTAAGTTGGCTCAGTAATGGTTAAGTGTCCACTCTTGATCTCAGCTCAGGTCTTAATCTCAGGGTCGTGGGTTTTCAAGCCCGGGCCTGGGCTCCATGCTGGGTGTGGCACCTACTTAAAAAAAATAATAATAATGGGGCGCCTGGGCGCCTCAGTCGTTAAGTGTCTGCCTTCCGCTCAGGTCATGATCCCAGGGTCCTGGGATCGAGCCCCGCATTGGGCTCCCTGCTCCACGGGAAGCCTACTTCTCCCTCTCCTGCTCCCCCTGCTTGTGTTCCCTCTCTGGCTGTCTCTCTGTCAAATAAAAAATCTTAAAAAAAAAAAAGATGATAATAATCCAGATTCTATTATTAGGTATAAAAGCACAAAGAAAAAAGACTTTCTGAGCTTAATGTAGTGTAAGAAATTGTATACAAATCAATTGGTAAAGCACTAAGACTTGATTAATGATCAGTTGAAAAGCAACAAGTGGAGGGCACTTGTCATGATGAGCAGCAGGTGATGTACGAAAGTGTGGAATCGATATATTGTACACCTGAAACTAATATAACACTGTTAACTAACTGGAATTAAAATAAAAAGTTAAAAAAAGTAACAGGTAATTTGTATGAAAGAAAATGCAAATGACTAAAACATGTGAAAAGATATTTGGCTTCCTAGCCATGAGAAATATGAAAACAGCAATTACTGATATACCAGTTTTTGCCTGTTCTGTGAGCTAAAGTTAAAAAAATTCTCAGCGACTGCCTTGATATTACTGGTAGGATGGTAAATGCATGTGGTGTATTTGGAAGGCAGTCCGGCAATATGTATCAAAGGCCTAAACACGTTCATGTCTTTGACCCAGCGATTCTGGTAAGAGGAATATATCCTAAAGAAAAATCATAAATGCAGGGAATATTTTATGCCTAGAAATGTCTACTGAGACATTACTTAAGGTAGTAAAAAATTAGAATGAATGTATTTGTCCAACGCTAGGGGAGTAATTATGACATCACTATGGTGGAATATATATAACAATTAAAGGTGAGCTTTATGAATTCTTAACACTCTGAAGTGCTTATTATAATGTAAAATTGAAAAGCAGAATACAAAATTACATAGACAGGATGATGAATCATATCTCTAAAATGATACAAATAAAATGATATGTTTGGTTTTTTACATAATTGATTATTCTTATTTGTACCTTTTTTTAGTTTCCATAATTTCTATACTGATAGTATATTGCCTTAATATAATAGTATTTTTAGAAAAATTCTAAATTGGAGTTTTATTTTTTATTTCAGTGCTCTTTCATTTTGCCTTTTTCTAACTAGAATGTCTTATATGAAATTATTATAAAAATAAATGTTTTGCCATGAACATGTATTAAAAGATACCAAAGAATATAACATAAAAATTGAGATTTCTGTTTTTCTGACCCCTTCCACTTCCATTGTCTTATGAATCCTTCCAGAAATATTTTGTGTATATATAAGTATATGCATACATTTTAATCCACAAGTGGGATCACAAATCTCAGTGGCTTACAACAAATATTTCCTGCTCACACCTGTTATATATATTCCACCATAGTGATGTCATAATTACTCCCCTAGCGTTGGACAAATACATTCATTCTAATTTTTTACTACCTTAAGTAATGTCTCAGTAGACATTTCTAGGCATAAAATATTCCCTGCATTTATGATTTTTCTTTAGGATATATTCCTCTTACCAGAATCGCTGGGTCAAAGACATGAACGTGTTTAGGCCTTTGATACATGTTGCCCTGAGGACTCCTGCAGCCATATCTCCGCCTTTGCTTAAGAGCTCTGCTCAGCTCACAGCTCTTCTCATTCCAGGACCTGTAGTGGGCAGCTACTAGTCAGCAGCATGCTGTTCTCTCCCATGGCAGAGGGCAGAAGCTCAGGGATGGGGACAGAGACAAACTACAAATACACATTTCAGGTTTCTGCATGGATGGTAGTATACTTGATGTCCATTCACATTTCATTGGCCAAAGCAAATAGCATGGTCAAGCCCAAAGTCACTGGGGCAACAATTACCAGAGATTTGATTAAACTTCTACTATGAAAGAGTAAAAAGCCAAACAGTAATAGAAATATAGGAACTTGTTAAAAGCAAAGACAAATGAAAAGAAAGTCTCAAAAGAAAAAAAACCCCACAAAACAAATTAATACCCTTAGAAATACTGTTAATATCACATTCATTAAACAAGACCAGGACAGGGGAGCCTAGGTGGCTTAGTTGGTTAAGTGTCCGACTCTTGATTTCTGCTCAGGTCATGATCTCAGGGTCATGAGATGGAGCCCAGCTTGGGCTCCACACTTAAGATTCTTCCTCGCCCTATGCCCCTCCCCCTACCGCTTGTATGCTCGCTCTCTCTTAAAAACAAGAACAGGACAGAACATTATCAAACAGAAAGAATTAGAGCAAGAAAACTTTTGGAAATTATAATACAATAGAAATAAAAAACCTAATAGGACTTTTGGAAGATGAAATAGAGAAATCTTACACATGGCATGAAAATTTGAGTACCAATCTAGCAGAACCAACATTCATCTAGTAAAAGAGAGGACAGAGAAAATGAGAAGAGAAAATTATTAAAGATACAAAAGAAGAACATTTCTTTGAATGGAGGTGATTGGAACCTTCAATTTGAAAAGGTACACCACTAAAAAAAAAAGAAAGAAAGAAAAGGTACACCACTAACAGGGGCTAACTCAATAAATGTAAAAAATCCCATACCAAAGCAAATTTTAGAACTCTGGGGGATAAAAGTGAGGCTCTTGAAAGGCTGGGTGGCTCAGTCAGTTAAGCATCTGACTCTTAATTTCATTTCAGGACATGATCTCAGGGTCGTGGGATCGAGCCTGTCATTGGGCTCCACACTCAGTGTAGAGTCCGCTTGGGATTCTCTCTCTCCTTCTCCCTCTGCCCCACCCCTGTTGACACTTGGTCTCGAATGAATGAATAAAGTGAGGCTCTCAAAGAGTTTCTTCCCAAGGGCAGGGGGTTGGGAGGAAGGAGGAAAGACTAGCAGATTACCTTCAAAATTCAGGGATCAAAATAGTAGTAGTAGACTGGGGGATGGGGGATGGGCAAAATGGGTGAAAGTGAGTGGGAGTTACAGGCATCCAGTTCCAGAATGAGTAAATCGGGGATTAGAGGTACAGCATAAGGAACATAGTGGTATTGTAATAGTGTTGTATGGTGACAGGTGGTAGCTACACTTAATGGTGAGCATAGCAAAGAGTATAGAGTTGTCAAATCACTGTGTTGTACACCTGAAACTAATGTAACACTGTCTATCAACAATGCTTGAATGAATTTTAAAAAAGGAATAGCAGTAGACTAACCATCAGGAACAATGGAAACTAGACTCTAATGAAGCCATTCCTCAAAATTCTGAGTGTATCTGATTTTCAGCCTAGAATTAATTCTATGCTTAGCCAAATTGTGAATTTAAAGAGGGTAAAATAAGGATATTTTCAGATTTGCAAGGTCAGAGAAAATTTAATTCTTTGTAAAAGATGTAGGAGTGAGAGATGTAGTTTGGCTAAAACTTCACTTTCTGTAGTAAGAAGAAAATAATGTATAAAATTGAAAAATGAAGAAATAGCTAAGGAAGCAAGGTATTTAGAAATCACAGAGTTGCTACTGGGGCAGTGTAGGGAGTAAGATAGCATTGGGCAGGGACTTGCAGCTTATATATAAGCCTATACTACTTTATGAGTTTTAAAGTAGGAACTATTACTTTGATAGAAATAAGATAAAAAATTTTTTTAAGATTTTATTTATTTATTTGACAGAGAGAGACACAGAGAGAGAGGGAACACAAGCAGGGGGAGCGGAGGAGGGAGAAGCAGGCTTCCGGTGGAGCAGGGAGCCCGACGCGGGGCTCGATCCCAGGACCCCAGGATCATGATCTGAGCTGAAGGCAGACGCCTAACCACGGAGCCACCCAGTCGCCCCAATGAGATAAAATTTTTAAAAAATTTAAAATCTGTGGGGCGCCTGGGTGGCTCCGTGGTTAAGCGTCTGCCTTTGGCTCATAACCTTATCTTCGGCTCAGGTCATGATCCCGGGATCCTGGGATCGAGCTGAGCTCCGCATCGGGCTCCCTGCTCCGTGGGAAGCCTGCTTCTCCCTCTCCCACTCCCCCTGCTTGTGTTCCCTCTCTCGCTGTCTCTCGCTGTCTCTCTCTGTCAAATAAATAAATAAAATCTTAAAAAAAAAAAATTTTAAATCTGTATCATTACAGACTACATTCTATGATCACACTGTGAGAAGATTAAAATCAGTTGCAAAAGAGAAAAAAATCCCTTCTCATATATTTGGAAAAATTGTACCTCTGAAAATTAATATCAAAGAAGATTTGTTATGGAAATTAGAAAATATTTAGAACTGAATAATGAAGTTACTACATAATATGTAGGATGCAAGTAAAACATTACTCAGCATATTTAGTTAAAACTGAAAATTAATCGCTAAGTATCAAGATCAAAGTTAGATAAGAATGGGTAACTTTAAAAAAGCAGAAGAGAGAAAGATTGAAGAGCAGAAATTAAAAAATGGAGAGGAGCAAAAATATTTTAAGATTT